CTCTATATTTTATATTTAACCACCATCACATTAAATCATTAATTAGAGTCATGCTATAAGTTACATAAATCACTATAATAAGATTATTAAAATAATCTAACAATATATAATTATTTTTTTGACTTTTATGTTAATTCTGCACTCAAGTAAAATTTTAATATTCATTTTGAAAGCAAAATGAATAAATTTCAACACAAAAGTTAGTAAAACAAATAATTTATGACACTTGCTGCGTCAACAAACTTGGTAATTTTAAATTTTTAAATCCATGTTTTACATTTTATTATCTTAAAAATTGATGTACACATGTTGATTTTCTAAAAATAATTAATCAAGTGACTTATGAGTTTCTTATTTTAGAACGAAGGTGATTCACTCTTATTAAGCTGAGTATACCATTTCATAACTTAATTTTTTATATACATGTAATAATTATTTTTTATTTATTAATTTTTTTATTTCATATCATTTTATTTTGAAGATATTAAGTATTAATATCATATTTAATGACTTTTTAGTATTTAGAAAGATAGAAATGCTTTTATTTTTCAGAATAATTTTATCTAACCTAATAGTTTAGTTCATAAAATCAATTATATATTTGGTTTTTATAACTTTCGCTGAGAAACATTTCCAAAAAAATTTCTCTAAGCTTGCCTCTAATCAGCATCACATCAAGTGGATTTCTCTAGTCACTGGTCAAGTGAAACTTAATGTGGGTAAGGTTGTTTCTACTGCCTTTGGATCTATTACTTGTGGTGGACTTGTAAGAGATTACAAAACCCATTTTTTAGTTGGTTTCTACTTTACCATTGATTTTTGCACTTCCCTTGTTGCTAAATTAAGGGGAATCTTATTGGAAATCTAATTGGTTTTGCAAATGTGTCCCCATCCTCTCTTTAGTCTAATTAATAGTATTAAAGATTTGTTAAAGTCTATTCAATTTGTTAAGATTACTCATGTTTGTAGAGAAGTTAACTATTGTACTGATAAGTTAGCTAAATTAAGTTTAGAAGAGCTTATGCCTTTTATTACTTTTGAGAAAGTTCCTTTGGCTTTACAACATTTTTTAGGCCTTGACATGGCATCAAGCTCCAATAAGGTCTCATTGTTCTCTTCTTCAATTTTCTTCATTGTAGCGTCCTTAATTTATTATTCAATTTATATAATAATTTACATGAAAAAAGAAAATAAAGTAAATTTCTTTATACTTATAGCATGAAAATTTATGAAAAATTTAAATTTTCACGTTATTTATTCAAATCGTGAAAATGCAAAGATATTTGAAATGAGATGAGATAAATATTTACCATGACATCATGACTTGCTAAATAAATTTACACTTGAACAGTAAAAAAATATACACATGTTGACTTTCATTCAGATACAAAAGTTTAGTATCTACAGATCATAATCCAAAATACATTAGGACTTCATTTACATAATTACTAAATTAAAATAATTTAAGTCCTAATGAGCAGATCACTCTCACGCCAAAATACTGAGACTAAGATCCTAGTCTTCATCAAACTCGCCTTCTACTTATAATTATCTCCCGTATTTGCAATGATCTTTGTTTCAGTTATATGCTCTCTAGTGAAATAGACTGGTCTTCCAAAATGCTCATGATCATAAAAAGTATATATACAATTTACAGAGTCTAGTGTCTGAACTGTCCCTCTATATATGTAGATGCTAAGGGTGTGATATATAATGCCACTAGTAGGATAGTCAAAAGGAACATTATACCTTACGATAATCTCTAAGGTATAAACATTACTGAACTTCATTTTACTAATTACTATAAATTTACAGTGGCACACTCGCTGCCATTCTTTAAATATATAATTTAACTAGCTCTCTACATCTCACTCAGTCAACCTAACGGGTCTCTGAGGTGTGATCATCCTTATTTCCTAATATTATTAGTAAGAATGAGTCTTTCCTCACCACTAAAACATGATCAAAATAATAAATATGAACTTTCACATCACTAAACACAATAATAATCACATTTGTAATATCATAATTCATGTATATTAATTATGTCACACAATCTATCACTTTATCATATATGCACTTTCTCGCGCGCTATATTCACAGTCAAACTTTGTTTTTTACATTCTATGAGGTCTTACACATATAGGTAAATGGTTGTCAGATACCCCGTGCATGATAATGGAGCCTTTAGCAAAATCAAAAATAAGTGTGAGGCCTGTGATGCTTTCACTTTTATCAATTTTTACATAATCACTAGGAAAGCATTCACCACCCTCATTTCTCTTAGATTTTATAAATTGTCTTGGAATTTTATACCTTAATGCATCTCCATAACTATTCACACTAATTCATTTTATCACAACTACTGATATTACATATTCCTCCACCCATTTCTCATTATTCAGTCAAATAGATAGTGTCTAATGTCAGGCATATCCTGACTTAGTCCAAAACATGTATTAGGAAAGTCCAGAAATCATTCAAGATCAACAAAATATACATCATCAACTTTAACAAATAGCAAAACTCTCATTTAAACATATATCTAAGAAATAAAGAAGCACACTATTACACTTCCATGAACACAAAATATATACAATGTTTTAACAATAGGATATATCTCTCTTTACCTTGAAGAGATGATTTTGTTAAGAGTTCACAGAAGAGATCGTCTAAGGATCAACTTCTTCCTATATATTTCAAAGTAGAGTACTTTTGATAAAGTAGAAAATGGAAAAATAGATATGAGATTTAAAAATTGAGCTCCATGAAACTTACTTAGGATCAAGTAGAATAGACGTCTGGGTTTAGATTCGAATGTAGTTAAGAGTTCAAAGGAATTTTCTTTGGAAGATGGGAGAGAAAGAACAAAAAGAATAGTGAAAAGAGATTGCTTAAAAATTTTATTGAGTTTTCTGATAATTTCGCTTAAGCGAGATGCCTTCTCACCTTAGCGAGACTAATCTAGAGAGATCTTCATTTTCCTGTGCCTTTTGCTTGGACAAGAGGACATTTAGAGTTATATTCTCAATTCTCACCTATGTGAGACATCTCACCTAAGCGAAATTATTCTATAGCAAGTGGTGCAGAAAACTTAGTCTTGCTTGAGTGAGACTTCTTACAGCCTTCAAAAATTAAATTTTTTTATTTAAAAAACAAAAAATAATAAATTGCAATAACAAAATTAAGGGCATGACATTCATGAATGCACCCTCATTGTATGTTTTTATTTTGAATGTTCTTTTTTTTTCTTCTTGTTTCTTGTTCTAGAACTTGATTTTTTGTTTCTTGTTCTTTACATTTCATCTTTTTCTTTTGTATGTTTCTTGTTCTACATGTTTTATGTTACTTTTGTTCTTTTTTTTTGTTACACAAGTTTCATAATTTTCTTTTCCGTGTACTTCATGATCAATTTTTATTTTTTTTTGTTCAACATTTTTCTTATTTTTATTGAATGTTCTTATGCATATTTCATGTTTCTTGTTATTTTCTTTTGCTAATTTCTTCTTCTTCTTCTCCTACATGTTTTTTGTTTTATTTTTTATTTTTTGTCCTTCTGCAAGTATCTTTTTGTTTTGCATCGTTTCGTGCTTCTTGTTTCTTCTTCTACTACTGTTGCATGATATTCTTGTTTCTGGTTCAACATTTTTATTTTTCTTTTTTCTTTTTATTTTGTGTTCTAAGTTCTTTGTATTTTTTTTTTTTTTTGTTTTTTTTTCTGGTTTTTTCCTTACATGAATTTTTTTTAATGTTTGTTTTATGTTTCTTCTTCTTATGCATATTTCTTGTTTTCTGGAATCCTGTTCTTCTTGCTTCTTTTTTTTGTTTTGTTATTCCTTCATCTTGTTTCTTATTCAATATCTTTCCTCTTATTGTTTGTATTCTACATGATTTTTTCTTGCTCTTTATTCAACATATCTCAAAAATAATGTCATTTCTACGAAGACATTGCTGAAACAAAGAAAAAGAAGTGCAGTCATGAGATCTCTCGTTCTCTATTGCTATAGTTTTGAACGTTTTGAAGGCAAATCAATGCAGAATAGTGCAAGTAATCGTCGATTTATCTCCTTGTAATTTTGAAAACATGTCACTTTTTAAGAGTTTAGAAATTCAATCTAATAATTGTTAGGCTGAAGCTGAATTTAATCATTTTGAGCACCAAAACCAATTATGGCACATAATTTTTTTTCGCCATATAACATTGAAAAAATCAACCAAAAGTGAACAGAAGTAGTACAGACGATTATTTATACTGTAAAATAAGCTGATATAATAGGAATCATGATTAAAATTGTGTGGCTGGGTGATCTACACACTCGAGATAATACTAAGTTAATTGAAATGAACATATGTCAATTTTAAACTATTTAAAAAAATATAAAATTTACTACAACCCTTTTTAATGCACAAAATTAAGTGACAATGAGTTGGAAAAGAATTATCTCATTACGAGGTAGTAAAAAAATAAAAGGAGTAATCGTAATCAAGATAACATAGTGAATTTGATAAACTCTAAACTTTATTTCTCATTTATCAAAACGCACGAATGATATAAAAGAAATTAAGTGCCAAACAGATTATTTGGATGATACATCAGTGATAAAGGAAAACTAATCGAATTATATTAAACTTAATAAATAGCAAACCATATTATTTAAAATTATAGTATGTCACTTTGATTTGAGCATAATACATGATATAAAAGAAAACTAACAAACTGACCAACTAAGTGACTTGAGTAACATGAATAAAGTGCATTAGTGAAAAAATGAAAACAGAAAATAACATTAATGTGAAATTTAAAATAGACAGTCAAATAATTTTATTTCTCATGGATTTGACATAGTACAGGGATACAAGAGAAAATAAACTAAATGACTTGAGTAACATAAACAAAGTACATTAATAAAAAAAACAAGGAAAGCAGATATAACAGGTCTTATTTAAAATTATTATAGTGCTTGACCTGTTAGACGAAAAAGAGTGACAAAATTCAAATTCTATTTGAAACCGGAGCCCGTGAGGAGTTTTTGAGCCTTGACCTCAAAGAAGAAAGGGTCATCAGCAGCTGCAGAGTCATTAGCGTCCCAAACAAAAATGCCACGGAGTGAACCGGTATTGATGAGGTCAGTGGCAGCCTCAATGAAGACCTCTCGGGAAAGCTTACCTGAGTCGAGATCTAGATCAGTGCTGAATCCTGCCAAGAGTATATTTTCTTGGTACTCATCTGATAGTTGACGAAAGAGAGCTACAAAGTCAGCTGCTGAGGGCACAGACTGATCGTAGAACTGGTAGTCAACCAAGCGAACATCTTTTTGGTGAGCTCGATACAATTTAAGGTAATGGGACTGAGTATTTTTTGATGGAGCAATGGACACTTCGTTTATCACTTTATCCTTATTCTTCAACGCATCAATAACTGAACCTATGCAGTGGGCAAAGTCAGTCTCCTTGGTCTTGACCACCTCATAGTTTATATCAATGCCATCAATTATAGCATCAAGCCTTTGGTAGTGTTGGATGATCTTTTCTAGTGAATCTCTGGCCCTGTCGGGCCATACTTCTTTCTCAGCAGGATCAAATGCATTTCCACGACCTCCAATGCTTATCATCACCTTCACCTTCACATTTTCGTACCTATACTTTCTCTTCAGTTCCTTGATATGCTCAGCACCAAAGTAATTTTCGTTCCAATTCTGCCTGAATATTCCCGTGCCTTTTCCATTGTTGTCGTACTCCTCTACGGCAGAGGCCAGAATGAAGTGGAATTCATCCAATTTGCGATTGATTATATCAGGGAAATCTTTTAAATCATCTGGGTATGGCTTCCCTCCAATGTATTCTCTGAATATCGAATTCGCGGCCATTAAGGATCGAAATGTATGTAGCTGTTTCTTTTTTTTCTTAGGAGCTAGCTGTTGTTGTGGTTGAGGGAATGCCCAGCTCTTCCCTTCCCTTTTATAGACTAACGGATATTAGTTATTATAAAATAATATTTGAGTTTATTATAGCCGTACATAGATAGTAATCCATAGGAAAACATGCACGTCCCCACAGTGGATAAAACTAGGAATCGAGCTTAACTTCGTAACCGTGTTTAGTGTGCAGCGTAATTATTAATTTTCGTGTTGGGTATTTAATTTATAATTTCTTAAGTTGATACTTACAATTCAATGGATCAGATAGTCAAATTACGCTGGCTTGTTTTCGCTTACGACACGATATGCGTTCATGGGATACAAAAATACATTATCTTTTGAAGGTGCTAGGGTATGACATAAGCTCAAAGAGTGGTTATTAGAAAATTTAAACTCTATTTATTACTTTTATTTGTAGGTTTTATAAATACTTCATCATGCATTTTCTTCTGATTAATTTCTGATATATATCCAGTTATAATGTAACTTTGTGTATTTAAATTATTTTTGTTTTACATTTATAAATAATATTTTACTATAATTTAAGTTTAATTTGCCTAAAATATTCAATAAATAATAAAAGTATTGTATCTATTTCATCTGAGCTTTCTGAGTTGGCACAGGTCCAAGGTGTCGCATGCTTTAATATGATAAAGCTTTACATCAAAAGTGATTAACTCATTGATATTGTAACAATTCATATAACAACTTAGGATTGGGGAAAAGAGTTTTATGACATTGTGGAAAAAGAAAGCATACTTGAGGTCATGCATCGCTATTGATTAAGTGCCTCCAGCCTCAACCTTTACATTACATTAGGTAATTCTTTATATCGATTATATAATTATAGCAAGATATAATTACTTAATGTTCATTTTCTTATTTAATACGGTTTGATTATTTTTTTAACTACAAGATATTTGTGTAAAGTTTACTTGTAAGGAACAAATAAGGCAAGTAGATTTTTATTTATATCTCCATATGAAATGGACAAAAACCTCAATCTGACCTCACATCAACATATAGCTGACATGTTGAAGCATCATATGGATGAAGATCACTGGATTTTTGCACCTTACAATGTTGGATAAGTCATTCTTATGACTATGCATATTTGTTTTATAATTTTCATTATCATTTTTAATTATTATAATCTTAAACATTTATTTTCATAATTGGTAGGCAACATTGGGTCCTAGTTGTCATCAACACCTCTGATGAGACAATATATTATATTGATCCCCTATACAAACAGCTGAAGACCAGTTTACATATGCAGAACCTATTTAATAAATAAGTATGCATGATTTTTCATGCTAGTCTATCATATATGAATATGGTTGAATTGTAACTTTGTTCTTTTATCCACCATTGTTAGTGCTCTTATCACATATTAAGCAGAGAGAGAAGTGCAACCCTCTAAGATAAAGATGTATCAAATAAGATGGGTCACTGTACAGGCATATATATGATACAAAAACTTTTTTTACTTTTACCTTACAACATTGTATAGAAAACACTGAATATTGATCTGTATTAATGATGATTTTTATGTTGTTTTCTTCCACAAAGTGTCATAAGCAAACAAATAATGGCAAATAATGATGACTGTGCATATTATGTGGGTCTCTTCATTGGACATGTTTTGCACTATAGACAAATTATAATCCCAATTAATGTAAGAGGACTCCATATTTAAAATCTTCATATATAATTTTTATTTCTTCTAGGATTGTGTCTGGCCATTTCATTATATTTAGTTTAACTAAGTTTTGTACATTATTTTGTTTCCAGCATTTTTCAGAGTTTCAACTCCCAACCTTTTTTGACAATAGAATTCATCAAGTGCAAAAAAATTGGTGTACATATCTATACCACATATATTTAAAGAACACGTTAAGCACAATAGATTATTCTTAGTGCTTTTTTACAAGACATAATCATATTTGTAAAATCTAAAGGAAAAAGTGTATGTATTGTTGAGTTATTTTATTGTGGTTCTTTGTTAATTATATCTGTAGATATTCATTTTTTTGTATTAATATTATGATACTTTGGGAGATATTGTATGTTTCAAAATTGATTTGAATTCTGATGGATAAATGTAATATGCATGTGGTTTGAAATTGTGGTATATCAGGCTGTTATTTGCACTATTTCTAAATTGTTTAATTCTGTTTGCACTCTTTTTGAATAATATGGTTTATTAGGTATGCCAAAAATTAAAATAATGTTAATTTTGTTAAAATCCTGACAAATATTTTTTAAAACTTAAGAGAGCGGTTCACTTAAAAATGCTCTCAAAATTGAACTTTAGAAAATAATTCTCCAAACACTGCTCTAAGAAGTACTCTATAGAGAACAGTTCAAAATGACCACTCTCAAAAGTAGATTTTAGAATACAGTTAAGGTAGAACCGCTCTAAAAAATGCAAGATAAGAGAGCGGTTTGTGTTTGAACTGCTCTTATTGTGAAAGTTTTTTGAAAACAGTTCTACTAGGACCACTCTCTTTTCTTGACTTTAGAGAGCGGTTAGACACTCAACCGCTTCCCAGAGTATTCGCGTTGAACCACTCTCCATACGCTATTTCTTAAAGCTCAACCGCTCTCCAAAGTATTCGCATTGAACCGTTCTCTATACGCTACTTCTTAAAGCGGTTAAGAACTGCTCTTCAAGTTTACCGTATGAGAGCGGTTGTATAACCACAGTCTTAAATGCAAGAGATTGGATAGCCCAGGATTTTAAATGCATGTCTACTAGATGAAATCACATGCATTTACAAAAACTAAGAATGGAGCTTAGCTTCGTAAACGTGTTGTAGTGTGCATCGTAATTAATAATTATTTTTTGGTTAATACCTACAATGCAATGGATCAGATAGTCAAATTACGCTGGCTTGTTTTCGCTTACGATAGGATATGCATTCATGGGATAAAAAAATAAATTATCTTTTGAATTCTATTCATTACTTTTATTGGTAGGTTTTATAAATTCTTCATTATGCACTTTCATTTAATTATTTTCTGATATCCAGGTATAATGTTAATTTGTTAGGCCTTCTATTTGGGCTAACTTTGTGTATTTAAACTATTTTTGTTTTACATTTAAAAATAATTTTTTATTCTAATTTAAGTTTAATTTGCTTAAAAGATTTTTCACTTATTTTATTTTAGATTAAATTGTTTTATTGTGATATTTTTTTTATGTTCATTTAGGTAATAGTAACCATCCTGCTTTTTTTAGAAAATTATAATTTAAATTCTTGAAGTTTTACATAAAAATAAATTAACATTACACGAAAATATTTTAATCCTTGTGATGAATTAGAAGCACTGAATGTTTAAAAACAAAATTACATCAAGATATTTATAAATTGTTTTAGTTTTGTGTTTATTACTTTATTGATTTTCTTCGAATTAATTTGCCTTTACGGTTATGTTCTTGTCAAACAAGATGGAAAATAAAAGGATGATAATGATTAATGAATGAATGGCAAGGAGTTGGAAATCACTTTTATAATCTACAAAAGAAATTTATCTACTAGGTCATTAAATTTAGTTGCTTCTACGTTATAATAATTAAGTTATTGAAGCTTAGAGTTAGCTGTTTGTATTAATCAACTGCTTGCATACAATTATTGAGAATATTGTTATTTTTACAATTTTTATATGCCTTATTTATAATTTTTTGGTCAATTATTTATAGCATTTTGAGCAACTATGCAAATCGTGATAACCAAATCATGTGGGCTTGTTTATTCTCACACGATAGGAAATATATTAACATGTGATAGAATTATATTATCTACTCAAGCAATTTACTTTATTTTATGATTTTATCTTTTATTATGCTATTTAAAAAATAAATAAAGTAATAATGTAAATTTTTTATTATAACATTTTTATTAGTAACTATTTCAATTTCAAGACAGTGTATTCTCTTGGATAATAAATTAATTTTTACAAAATATTTAAAAATAGTTTTTGTCTTTATAAAAAAAACATTTACTGATCTTTAACACATAAACATATAAAACTATACCGTTTTTTAAAACTTTAGAAAAAACAATTTTATTATATAAGTGAACTTTTAAGTTCTCTCTCCCAATGCAAGTAAGCAATATTCTCACCGATTGTGATGCTTTTTCTATCTTTAATTAATTGTACAAGGTAGGCAGGGATGATTAATAAGATGAGGATGATTAATATTTAAATTATTTAATTATTACATTAATATATTATGTTATAATTATTTTTATTTATAATAAATAGAAATTGCTTAAATATAAGTTATATTTTATTTGAAACTAAAAATTTATTAAAAAATGATAGAAAAATAAAATAAAATAATTAAAAATATAATATATATATATATATATATAATAATAATAATAGGACCATATAACAAATAATATAAATAATATAATTTTAAATAAATTATATATAATATTTTTTTTAATTTGCTGTGTTTATTGGTATAAATTTTTGGAATACAGTACCTATACAAAAATTTTAGAATATCACGGTACACACTATCTTATTAAGCCAAGTATAGCTTTCCATAATCTAATTTCTTTTATATATACCTAGTAATTACTTTTATTTATCAAAATTTTTTATCTCATATCATTTTATTTTGGGGATATTATTTGAAAAAAAGTGTTACTTTATACGACTAAGTAGGGAAAAATAATTTTGAAATACATTTATTAGAAGTATCATGAAATTTAATTTTCACTTTTTGTTATATAAAATTTGAGAACTTGAAAAGGTAATTCAACCTTTATATAAATTAATAAATAACAGTCTACCCCAGAAAATAGCAATCACAATTAATAGCAATACATGTTAATATCCACCTTTCCTTACCAGTTCCCAACCAGCCCAAAATGGAACAAAAATGGTGTTCACACCAATGCAAATTAAATACCCACATAAACATGATGCATGATACATATATAGTCTAAGGGCCCAATGCCACAACACCATAAAAATATTAGCACCATGTAATCTGAATATACACTCTTAATCTATAAGATCCATGTAATGCAAAGGTTGAAGCACTGTAACTGTTGCATATATTTGCGAATCGATGTTCGCAACGATTAATTTGATTAATCTTGCATTTTTATTAAAAGATATAATTTCAAACAAATTCATATATATATATATTGTGATTGGATCAACCATTTTAATTATCAATCATTTTAATCTTTTTCATTACTTAGACATTTATTAATTATATTAATTTTTATCATCATTTAAACAGTAAACTCTAAATTATATTAAATACTAAGTAAATATTATATATAACATTGAATGATGACATAAATAATATTTGATCAGTCAATTTAATTTTTATAGAATTTAATTCTATAGATTATTTAAAAATAAAATTAACAAATTTTAAAAAAATAAATAAACTTCCAGATACATTGCTGTGTTATGTTGTCGTTAAATCTCACGTAATATGTCTTAACATGTCAAATTAATTTGTTTAATAGAACAAATAATGTCTTTATGATAACTGGAATTGAAATAATGAAACATTTTATATGTTGTTAATTAAAATAATATTTTGCCTATTGTAAGAATTATTTTGATAAACATATGAAAAAATAAGGATTATAATTAATAATTACAATAGTCAAATACTAAAGAAATATTTTACTTTTAAAGATTATTTTAATGAAACTAAAAATAGGAGAGACCAAAACTTAATCCTATAAATTTACACTGGAACACTAACCCAACCCAAAAAGAAATAGCCCAAATTTATTGAGTCTAAAAAACAAGGATAGGGAATGGGACTGATGACACGTAGGATGCTTGCCAAAGAATGGCCCAATTTTATTTTGAAATAGTTAATTATTGTTGGAAAACAAAATAGCTTTTTTATTATTTACACCAGTTTTTGCTTTTTATTTATACCTCATATTTTCAAGCCTATTTTTTCTTAAAGATATGAAAGGAGAGAAAGAACCGATTTCGGAAGAGAAAAGATAAAAACAAAAAAACAAAAAAACGAAGATATATAAATATGAATCATGAATTTGCATGAATTTTATCTCACCTCCATCTTACTAATAAATGGATCCTGGATCCAGAATTATATCTTGTGAAACTGTTCTTTAAAAATTTATTGTGAAAGGAGTCTACATTTTTAAATTGTTTAAGGAATAATTTTGAAAAAAATAACAAAAAAATTAAGGTCTTTTAATTTTTTAAAATAATAAATGTAACTTTAGATGAATAACTTAATCGTAACATGTTATATTAAAAGAATCTCATACATCCAAAACTATTTCCTTCACTTGTACACAAAACATTTTCACATCATACATACATTTCCAAAACTGAGATAAGCAACTCTCATCACATTATCATGACATCATGACATGTGATAAGAACCATTCAAACTGACATTATTTTTAATTGTATTTTCAACCAAAAGTATAAAATATACATAACACTTATATTTATTATATGCAAAATTGTATGTAATAAAAAATGAATAAATAATAAGATATAAAAAAACTATACTACTTAATAATATCAATATGTTTAAATTGTGTATTTTTTTAAAGAATATTATATATAAATTCATATTTTATGTAATTTGTAAAGTTTAAAAAAAACTAAGTTATAAATATTAAACTTAGTTCAAATTTTTATTCATCTAGCTTAGGTTACGGCTAATTTTAGTCTCGATTGTTTGAATCCCTCTATTTTAAAAATTATGCAAATTTAACTATTTATCAAATATTTCACCTAAGACTCTTAAATCTAATTATTTTACTTAAAATATCTATAAATTTAATTTCTTAAATTGTCTGTTATTTAAAAATAACTAATTAAAGTAAGAAAATTCATTCAAAATTAAAAAATATTGAAACGTTATTTTTTTAAAACTTTAATCTTACATATTGTAAAATCTTTAAAAAATTTAATTAAAAATTTTGAAAAAAAATTGTAAAAATGAAATCTATATAATTTTAAAAAAAAGAAATGAACTAACTTAACGAAAAATGAAAAAAGTGAAATCCCTTATGAATATGATATTGAGAAATGTTGAAAGGTCCGGTGACATGAAGTTTTTGTGTTTATCTGATTCATTATTATCTTACAAGAAACACACGTCACAAAATTTATTGCTGAGGGTCCGCGAAACAGGGCATTATTGTAATTGTGCGAGTGCACGATTTCGATTTGAAACGCGTGTCGTTTTATGAATGCACAACGAAGCTTCCTCTGTGTCGTTTCTCGTCCCCACCCCACTTAAGCTTCAGCCACGCTCATGTCATCACAATCCAACTTTTATTACGTTACGTGGCACTGCATTTCATAAAAAAAATTATTACATATCCTATTTATCAATTATTGTATGTGTAAATACAATTTAGTTTAAATATATTTGTACATCAATCAATCATATATTTCTATATTAATAATTTAATAATTATTATAAAAATTACAGTTATAATATATTTTTTTAAAATTATACTAATAATATATTAAAATTAAACTCAAACGATAATTTTTCTAACAATTTATGGCAAGACAATGCTATGATTGGTGGGGTGTGGTGACGTCATCGATGGATAGAGCTTAATCCTTGGCACATGGTGGGTCCTTCCCCCTTATGTCATGCCACGATGCCTATGACGCTTACGTCGTCCCTTCCATTGTCAACGTGTGTCTCACTCCACACTTTTCCCATTTTCTTTCTTGTTTTTGTTATCTCCTAAATATTTCCATTCATGTTTTTCAAACAATATTAGTAGTTGTCAGTACCCTTCATTCTCCTCACAAAATTGTTTATTCATGGGCAAGTTAACATAGCCTAAGCTCATAGCTCCATTTCTTGTTAAGGAGCGTTACTTCCACTGAAACCATTTATTTTATAATACTTTCTCATTTTCTCTTGCTTGTTTTAATTGAAAACGGCTGTGTTATTTGCTTCTCTCTTTTCTCCAAAAATAATCCCTTAATTAGGAAGGACATAACTTTTAAATGCAAATTCATTTGGAGTTATTTGTATATATTTAATATCAATTCTTTATGATAAGGGCTTAGATATCACTTAATTATGATATGCCTGACCTTAAATGGGACATAACTTTTTCCTGGAAAAGCTTTAATGTAAAAAATAGGAAGAAAAATGTTGGACATTTGGTCCAACACTAGCAACAGTGACTTACAAAGTGGGATGGCCGTCCAAAATGAAAACGTAGAAAAACAAAGGAGGAAGTGACATAACCTAAAACGTAAGATGACCAAATAACACCGCGTAATCTTAGAAATATTTATGTACTAAAAAATGCTTATTTTGCAGTTGACGTTACGAGTTAATGACCCTTTCAAATCATCAACCACTCACCCCCACCTCTTCCCCCATTTATATATATATTCCTCTTTTATAACCATAACCCAACCACCCCAAACCACACCTCTCTCTCTAACCTTCATTCATTTACTCCAAAACACCATGCAACAAGCAATTCCTTGTAGGTCATGGCAACCTCTCATCACACACACACCCAACACTCACTTCACAATTAGGCCACACTCATTAACTACCCACACCCAAACCGCTATTATTTCTCACCCCTCTTCGTTTTCTCCCAAAGGAATGGTGCTCAACATGGTGTTAGAAAACGCTGTCATAGTCTTTGCGAGACGTGGTTGTTGCATGAGCCATGTTGTGAAGCGATTGCTTTTGGGTCTTGGTGTTAACCCTGCCGTACACGAAGTGGAGGAGAATGATGAAGTGGATGTTGTTAGAGAATTGGAAGCAATTGTGGGTGTTAATGGCAATGATGGGAAAGTGCAATTTCCAGCGGTTTTTATTGGTGGCAAATTGTTTGGAGGATTGGATCGTCTTATGGCTACTCATATTTCAGGGGAATTGGTTCCCATACTTAAAGAAGCACGGGCTCTATGGCTGTGACTCTTTCATCATTTGCTATTCTTTTTGTTATATTCTATAAATTGTTCTTTTTCCTTCTTGATTTTCTCTTATTTTATTACATGTTTCTTCCGGATATAGTGATTTCCTCCTTGGGAGGCTGTAGAGAAGGGAGAAATGTAATAAAAAATATATATATATTTTATGTATTTCGAAATGAATGGAGAAATTTGATGATATGGGAACAAGTTTTTCTATTGCGGATTTTCATTTTCGTTTTCTCGGTAGAACATACCATCTTTGAGTTGGGGAGACTCCCAATAAAGTTATTGTGAAAGTTATGATTGGAGTAATGGATAGAGATAAATAAAAGGACACAAAATGAATTGTCACTAGATATGGACATTATTGTTTAATTATAAAATTAGAAAGAATGTGATAGAATATGATAAAACTTATTTTATGTTTTGTTTTTTGTTTTTCTTTTAAACTAGAAACAAAGATGGTCTCATTTTTATAACACTATATTTACTTTAATTTTAATATTTTTGTAAATTAAATTAAATAGGAAAAATGTAAAACTTAAAAATTATGAAAATTTTAAGATTTCAAGTATGATTGAATTCAATATTTTATCTTATTAATATAGTGTAAAAATTCAAATTTTGAAAATTAAAATATAATGTATTAATATTTAAAAAATATAATAAAAATAAAAATGAAGAAGAATCAAAGAAATTAAATATCAGTACAGTAAAAATCATGTAACATAATAAAAGAGAAACATTTTTTAAAAATAAAGACTCATAATAGCAAAAAAAAAAAGTAATAATAATAAAGACTCAAAATTAATATATAAAACATATTAAAAATAAATAATTTATTTTTAACTATTGTTAAAATTTAAAATTAAAATTCTCTGCAGGTAGATTAGAAACAAAGGAAAGATGAGAGTCATACTTGGGGCATTCATGATTATGTCACAGTGTGATAGTATGGATGGTGTAGTGGTACTAGGAAGGTTCCACTTTTGACTTTAGGGGTATCTGTAAGGCTGTGTAGCGTAAACAAATCAAATATGAACAACAAGAAATGGAGATATTCACCTTTCTGGGACCCTTCCTTTTGCTATTTTGCTGCTGTTATTATTTTGGTGCGTTGCGTGTTAGCTTTTTGTTTAACTTCGTCTCGCACCGACAAAGAGTAAAACAAATCATTTTCTATTCAATTAATATTTTCCATATTAGTTATGAGATGAGAGTTTATCTTTCTATCTGATACGTATCGATACTACGTATGATTGTGTAAATGGATATATCTAAGTCGAAGTAGAGATTAACTTTGTGTAATAATAATGGTTGATGATTGCGACTACCCAGTAACGTCGATGATTTTACGCGTTTTTGTGTATTCAATTCTTAAATCATAACGATGTGCAATGTATTCACTATATTTTATGACTTATTGCTACTTTTACTTGTTATACTTTATTTTGTATTTTATTTTAACAATGAAAAACGTGAAGGATGATATATGCTTAAAAAAAAATTTCTCATCCTTTAAAATAAATTGATAACTTGTTTTATAATTAAAATTATTGAGTAGAATAAGTAATAAAGATTGATTTTTAAAATAAGTAAATTCTCTTATCCATCTATGTATCTATATTACAATGTAAAATAGCACATAAAAATCTTAACTCAAGGTAAATATGACTTAATAATTAAAAATACATACATTATTACAGATTTAATCTTCAGTTACAACATAATTTAAAATATTTCGCACATGCTGCAAAAAAATTATTTTGCACATTTATTATATTAAGTGGTCTTCTAAATTGATTCTTGATTCTATTGGTTTCTCTTGATCTTTTTTTTTTCCCACCTATTTTCATTATATGCCTAAAACCAAACGCTCTGAAAAGTGTAATTTCTATTTTACAAATGCTAACAGTTACCTCCAAGGCACTAGCTGAGAAAGAATAGTAAAAGAATTACTATAGAAAATAAAATATTTATCGTATTTGACAAAAAGAATTTCATCGTATCTTATTTTCCAATGTCCCTAATTTCTTGATTGTTGATGGATTAATAAATCTAAATGCAGATGTCAACAGTAAAATTAAATCGGGAGTTCCATTGCATCCTAAAATGAAAAGATGACAACACTAGGTTCGGCAAATTCTGCATAATTTTCCCCTTCCATTACTTTTTTTTTTCTTATGGAAGCTGAACCATGAATAAATAACTGAAAAATGAACATGCTGAAGTGTTTTTGACCCAAAAAAAAAAACATGTTAAAAGTGTTTTATACGTATAATTCTGTACACAATGGTTATAATGTTTCAACTGTACTCAAATGTTTCAAACCTGCACCAACCGTGGGCAATTGATCGTATCAGACCCAAAGAAAAAGGTCAGGAAGAAGGTCCTTTTTTATTCACCAGGCTCTCTGGTGGAGAAGGACAAAGTCACGCTTAGCATAAGCTGTAATGAACACATCATATTACACGTTATAAGGAATTACAAGACTTAACAAATCATAGTGTATCAAACCATGAATCGAAGTCATCTGACACTTTGGACTTGCTTCCAGAGGGTGAAGATTGCATGCTGTGGAGGACAGGCTTTTCTTCGGGTGGCCGTAATAAAACATTTGGCTTCATCAAAGTGGATGTTTCCTCCAGTAAGTCGTCAAGTGCATCATCTAGACTAGTAGTAACTGATGCAGTTTTGGGTGGCACTGGTTCTTTCTTTGAAACCTGAAGAGGATCCACAGAAGAGACTCGAGGATCTACAACCTTTGACTCGCTAAGTGAATCAAGAAGCATATCTAGTTCTTTTTCAGCAGCCGCCGCCTCAAATGCTGTGTGTTTCCCTCTTGTATCTCCAGTAGAATGTAAACTAGCACCTGAACTTAGAATAGTTGCTTTGTTTTTACCAGAACCGCTAACTTGCTGAAATTCAACATTGACAGAGTTCATAGGAACAGTAAAGTCATTGGACAAGGTGAATGTAGAGGCAGCATGGCTACTGCTACAGGAACTAGATGAGGTAACTTGATCTACAGTGAAATCATCTAAATTTAATTCTTTGGGCATCCTAGTCGCTAGTTCACTGTCCTCTGTAATTTCTAGTTTGTCATGTTCTTCATTCCTGCCCCCTGCGAAGTCTTCCACACTCTATAAAATAAACCACATCAATGCAAAATATGACTTTGCAGATGATAAAATAAAATTCACCCTGCAACATAATCATGGATTTCATAGGGCATATTATAGGATATTCATAGCTCTCACTTAAAATTCCAGACATCTACAGCAACATGATACTTGTGCTAGAACTCCATGCCATGACTATTTTCTCATAGTGAACAAAATTTGCTCAAGTTCGAAGGTTTCATCATATTCCAAAAATAACTAAAATAACGATTGCTTTCAATACAGCAGCACTGAATGATATTCATGATCCGTGCATGTACTAATGAGGACAAGCAATAAATCATATACCCAATGTTACAATTGATAAAAAGTACTGTCACAACCACAGTGGCAACAAAATAGAGAAAAAAATAAAAGAAAATATCTATATAAATCACCCTTTATGGTTGATTGCATGGATTTAAAAAGGCCATAAATCTTTTAGGATAAAGCTACGGGTGTAAATGAATTGAACTATTCAAATCCATAAATTGTAAACTAGACATCAGAGTAAACCCCATTTTAACGCCTCAAATTGGAAGCGTTAGTAACTTGAATGACTTGTTCTGCAAAACAATTTTTTTATAGGAGGAAAAATATTCAAAGGGGTAGTAATTCATAAATGGTAAGGAAATGACCATGGAATGATATGTAATAAAGCACAGCATTGGCCCCTTTGATAACACTTTATTTCAAAAATTATTTCTAAAAGCCATCACCTAATCGGCTAATAATCCACAAAATAATGATCATGAACCCAATCCAGCCTGTGACCCTGATCAATCCAACTAATCCAAACTAAAGAGTACGAGTTGGTTAGGGTATAATTAAAAAGGTTAGTTCGGATAATAAAGATTGCAACTCAATTGGTATCAAATTGTGCCATCACTATTTCCCACTTCAACTAAATTGTTAATGTTATTAGTGAAGTGCTACACATAATATGCTACACAGAGAGAGCTTTAGAAGCCAGTAAAAGTTTATGTTTACAACTAGGTGTCTAAGTTACCAGTTATGATGTAATCCATGGTTTTGTACCATTGTCTCCCGTCCATCAAATAGTAGAAATAAATTCACAAGATATTAAAACATAAAAAAGTTCTAGAAAAGTGCAAGTTGGATCAAATGTAAAACTATGTAAAATTAATTATGCCACACTCTAGCCATGCCTCTACCCAAATTTCAGAGGGAAAAATAAGAATATGAGGGAACATAAAAATAAATATTATGAAATACAATTTAACTTTCAATGTTAAGATATTTGCAATGAGACAGCTAGCCACATAATTTTCAAGATCAATAATTTAGAGTGTAAACATACCAACTCAGTGGGGATCAGGTCAGACTCAACAAATAATCTCTTTGATATGTCAACTTTTGCAAGACTTTCAGCTAAAGCATGCAAATTCAACGACATAAATGATGCCTGCGTGAAAATCCAATTCATGGGAAGTAAGGCAACACTAAATGAAGTTGGGAGACAGCATATTGGAAAAATAAGTAAGAAATGAAGAACTGCAAGGGTAAATATTGAATAGAATGCTGGAAAAAATCACAGAGAACAACAGCAAAACTAAAATCATAACAAAGCAGAATTGTAATTCCCAATAACCATCTTTTGCAGAAAAAAAAATAGTTTGAGAAATCAGAAAACAATAAAAGCTTCTGATACTCTAATGCAGATTGCAGACTGCATACTCATTGATAAATTAAGTAATTCTGATAAACGAGCAATATCAAGCAATTCTAGTATTACTACAGATGCTCAAGAAGCGCACTAGCATGCCTATAATCCTATAAGATGAACTATCGCTAATAGATTCATAAAGAATTGCTATACATATACACTGAACTTATAGTCAAAATCAACATAAGTTAAGGAAGTGAAAAAAGTACCTCCTGATTTTCACCTGTCTTATCCTCAACAACAAAATTATCATCTCCAGTCCACGACACTATGTCCTCTCCCCTGACCACAAGCATAGATCTCAATCCCACGCCAAACTCCCCTGTAAAAAATATCACATAATATAAAACATCTCAACCACATTTGTATAAAAAACAAAAGCATCATTCACTCACCAACTAATTACAAATGCTCATCATTCACTACTTGTGAAAGATAACAAGAACAATAAGGAACCATCAAATATTAACTGCAGGGACGAAACTTATGTGCAGCAAAATTGGAGTTTCATTTCAATAGTTAGCGCTGACTTTTATCACATAAATTACCGAAATAAAACTCTAATTTTGATTCGAGAACATCGCCAAAGATTTAGAGTACTGCCCCTAAATTTCATCCATAATTATAAGTGGTGATTATTCAAGCGAAACACATACCAGGAAGAAGGTCATCGAGAGAAGGGAAACCCTCTAAACTCGTTTCTGCATGAGACTGAGCCTCAGCAACAAGGTGGCGAAAATCAGCACCTTTACTTTTAGGCAAGACAACATCTAGGGTTTTTCTTGCACTTTCAGACGCAGAATCGAATTCCTCTTCGTCCTCCTCATAGCGTTCCCAATTGCTAGGAAGCGCAGAAGAACGCTGAGACCGAGAACCACGGCTTTTCTTCTCCTCGTTCACCAATGGGTTCTTCGCAGAGTTATTGGAGCCTAATGAAGAAGAAGATGGTGAAGGGGCCTTGGGTTTGTGGCTATGGTGTGTCTTTTTGTTGTGATGTTGTGTGTGACCTCTCTTTGATTTTGCCAAAGCCTTTATGTCCATTGAATGTAACTGTCACTGGGAATTTCAATTCGACATTGCTTTTCTGTGAATGATGGAAGCTTTAAATGCAGGAATAAGCGAGCATTACAGAAATGGTAATGAGGAATGTAATGCAGAGAAGATCAAGACTCGTAGTCTGATTCACGCGACCAAAACTTGGTCTCAGAAAATCCCTTACTGTTTCTGATAAATAACATTGGACCTGGGCCACCCGAACTAGATTCGCTCCGGCCCGCATTGTCACATTGTTTTAAAAAAAATATTTCGATATGTGTTGAATAATAATAATAATAATAATAATAATATATCAAGTTTATTATATCTAATTTTTAAGTGAGTGTCAAGGTTTTCCTTTATTTTATTTTTTACACACGCAGTCAAGGATTGATCTTTTGTAATTAGGCTTAAGAGATATATTTATATACGATATATAATTAAAAGAAGATTTTGTCGTTGGCAATCATGACCTGTAATAACATCAAAGTATTTACTTTTGATAAAAATATATAATTTTGAACACATTTTAATCCTTAAAAATATTTAAAAAATACATGATTTTGGTTCCTAACAAAGGACAAAAATACATAACTTTCTTAAATGCAAAAATCAAAATCAAATTTTTTTTAAAAGATTAAAATAAACAATTTATAATTTTAGAGACTAAACATTTAAGTAAACCAATTAAAATTAATGATAAATGAATATATATATATTTTTTACTTTATAATTTTGTTTACTCCAAATAGTTAAATTATAAGTTTATTTTATATATGCCCTATTACATAATTGCTGCATTTTAAGGCTAATGTTTCTAATTTTTTGCATTTTTTATTACATAGATTAAATATGTTTTTATTTTTATGTTTCTTTTCAGATTTTGGGTTTTTAATCTTTGTTTTTATTTTTGTTAAATTCAACATGTTTAGTTTTTAGTGATTATATGATTAATTAAGAAGCTCACATGTATCATTTTTTCTATAAAAGTATATCAATTTGTAGTGTCACATAATTATTGATGTTTAAAAATATTAAAATTTAAAAAAATTAAAATATTAATAAATATAAAGATTAAAATTATACCACACTAAAATATATTTGAGAATTGTATTACGCATTAAGGTTTGTAAAGTACTCAAAATTAAATTTCGTCTAAGTAAATAAAATAATAAAATATACTTTTTTAGAAAAAATTAACTATTTAATATAAATCAAATTACTAGCTTTTATATATTTACACAGTATTGATTGTCATTATAATAGTTGAGATTTTATAACTCCATAACTTTGAATTTATTTTTTGTCTCTAACACAAGTCGTACTACATTTTTATCTTATACATCAATTAAGCACGCCTTATATTCACTAATAGCATGCTCAGTCCTAAAACATAATACTTCTTTCAAATAATTTATATGTTACGCATAAGTTGCACTGAACTTAAACAACTTACAATTGAATATGACTATATTATATTTAATATTAGTATGAGGCATGCTTGTATATAAATTACTCAGGTCAAGTGAGACTTATGTTTAATTAATTTGCAAATCATTTAAACTTAGTGTAATTTATGTTTTAAGTTTAATTAAGATATATTTATTTTTTTTAAATGACAATTTTTTTATACTTTAAATAAATAAATAAAGGTTTGTACCTTTGGGATAAGTATATGGCTATTTTAGGAACAAAGATTCCTAAAATAATGAAAATGTTGAGCTACCGTGTTCATAAGAATGGAAGAGTTGTAGTAATGTTACATGTTTTTACTTCTATGGTCTGTTTTTTAATGTTTATATAGAAAATGAAATAATGAAAATGATTTTTTATATTTACTTTTAAAGTAAAAAAATATTTTTTTCAAAATATTGTCTAAGTATATATTGATGGATGCTTGATGGCTCATGGTAAAGAGCTTTAATTTGTATTTTGTTAAGGATAAATAAGGAACAAAGTTATCTCCTTTAATTGGATGAAAAAGTTGTTCCTTGAGAGATAAAGATGCATAATATAGTAATTGGCACACATTATTGTCTCCAAATGTCCCTATCATCTTTTAAGTTCTGTATTCCATTCCTCTTAGTATGGTAATGACTGCATTAGTGACTAAATTGATAACTTCAGGAATAATTAGCTCGTCTAGCCACATCCAATCATTGGTGCATGAAGTGTCAATACTTTTGCTGGTGTTATCATGTTGAGGGTTTGTGACACATTATAAAAATTTATCATTTACTATAAAATAATAAAAATTTATTGAATCTTAAAATACTTTTTGTTAGCATAGCTTTTTTTGTTTAATAAAAATTTAATTATTAGTAAATATTTTGAAGGCCTATTCTAATATGTTAACATTTGTATTTATTGATGATATATATTAATATTTTGTTAGTAAAATTATTTGTTAGCATAATGTATTATATTTTTAGTATAAATTTAAATATTTATACTAATAGTTTATTTTTAATGAAAATATACAGTACTAGATATTAGTTTAAATTATTAATAAATGATTTTTTTTTATAATAACATCTGGAGTGTAAGAGTGTTCACATTTGAGGAATTAGCACCAGGAAGTAGCAGTGGTATTCATATTGAAAATGGATCAGAAAAATGGAACAGTGAAGCGAAGAAGCTCGTATTACCATGTCAATTAAGAGTCATGATTAATAGTATCCAAAACAAAGTTTAATGTTAGATAAAAAAAAAACGTTACGATTATATATATATATATATATATATATATATATATATATATATTAGTTTCTTCTTCTTATATTAAAAAATTTATCATTTATTAATAATTTAATGTTTAATTAATTTCTTTTGGTGTAATTTTTTCTAGCAAAAGTTAAATTATTAGTATACAGTTTAAATTTATAAAGATAATATAATATGTTATATTGACAAATAAGTTTTTAGATATAATACATTAATATATGCGATGGATACATAAATATTAGTATAGTATAATATATATTGATATAGATCTTTAAACTTTTCACTAACGATTTAGTTTTTGTTACAAATATTCTAGTTGAAATCCCTAAGCTCTTTCCAAGTATATATTCCTTAATTTAAGGGAATCGTGATCCATCCCATGAGATACTTAATACTTCATTAACATGTTTGTATTCAATTTGTGTGTCAAAAAATTTTATTAATTCCTTTATTATGCTTGTTCACGGAGTTTGTGGGAGCCATTTCACAAGGGTTTTGTTGTTAAAATTATAAATCTATTGTTTTTACCTACAAAGTAAGTTGAGAAAGTTTATAGTTATATAATTAATTAATTGAACTAGAGTCAATTAATAAAATTAATTATAAAATTAACTAAAGCATATTAAATGATTGAAAAATATATATTTATTATGTGAGTACAAATTATTTAAAAAATTAAGAGCAAAAATAAGAAGTAAAGTAGTGATAATTAAATTTTAAAAAAATATATATTTCTAGCACTTTTTAAAAGTTATCTTTTAAAAATCACAAGTTCTCTTTATTTTGTGTTTATTTAATAACTCTAAATTAATCAAGTCAATAATTAAGTAGCTCTTACAAAATCTATACTAAATATTATAATTATTGATTTAAATGACATGATTAATCAATTTGCATTTTCGTAGCTCTAATCTTGCTATCACAATATTCTTTGTGCAAGTATTTGTTTTCCAATCTTTTAAAAAAGAAAGTATTTTGTGCCCTACAAAATTTTAAAAGCCACAATCAATTTATAAAGAAAGCAAGGTAGATAACAAATATCACTTTTTATACATACACTTTTATTCCCTTGGGGCCAATGTTACGTACACTTTTATTCGTACAAAGGAGGGGTTTTCTTTTTATAAAAAAAATCTGTCTTTTTGCTCCCTTCCCCATCCAAATTTGCCAATAATTCAAGGAGCAATGAAGGACAATCCCTATTGATTTATTCTCGTATTAAACTTTGCTCTCTTTTTTCGTAGTGGAGCTTCAACAATGCTCATATAATACTTGATCGTGACCTTCCCGGAAAAACATACAAAGAAGATAGACAGTGACCTTGTTTACTATATAATACAACTTGACATCAAATTTTATGACTAAATAATCTCTGGTTTGGGCATTATTTGGTCTCACTCCCTCTTGCACTCCCTTTCTTTACATTTACATGGTCCCTACTGCCTCTATAAAAAGGAATAATTAATAGCTGTGCACCGTAATCGAGAAGGGAAAAAAAAAGCTAGCGAGATTTGATTTAAGAAGTGTATACTTAATTTTCTTTAATTAAAATATTAAATTTTAATTTTGAGAATAAAAATGATTTTCATTGACAGAATTAGTCTATTATACTGTGAATATTTCTTAATTAATATTAGGTTAGATGGCAATATCATAATTGGTTGATTGAGGTTATAGTGGTGGTCAATTCCATATCCATGAGGACACAGTGCTTGCCTCTTCAGCCTCTAAGCGCGTTCAGTATCCAATGTGACAATCCTATCCCGTTTATATAATTGACTGTTGTTAATTAATTATCTATTATTACCTGTATTAAATTTGGTGGGGTCATAAAGAAGATTTAATTTTCATAAAACCACGCTTGAGTTTCTTGTTGATTTATCTTAATATTAAATAACACCATATAAGAGTCGCACCATAAGTGATAGGGACTTCATTTTAAAATTGATTCACCATAAAATACTACGTGCTTTTTCAATGTTGACCAAAAAGTTGTCAATCATACAAAGAGCACACCTTAGCACTCAATACTGGCGAAAGAGAGAGTAATGCATGGTTGTCCACTGTATGTGTATCTATTTGAATCTGTATAACCCGAAGGATGGGTTGGTATACGTGAAGTTAATTTATTTGATAAAATGTTATGCATTTAAATTTTATCATATGCAAAAAAAAAATTGGACCAGCAGCACCTATAAGCAGGAATTAGTCTTAAGCCCTTTAATCTTGAAGAGACCTTATAATTAACCTTAGACAATAAATAAATAACATATACTTGTGCATTTGTTTTTCTTATTAAATATACTGCTAATTAATCCAATATTTTTTTCTTTCTTCGTATTTATCCACAATGTTTTGATGCCCAGCTTTGCATATGAATTCTTAGGTAACTAGTCTGAGGATGCCTAAGTTTTTGTGTATTCACTTAAACATTATTACCGAGA